AAGAAAAGAAAAGAGAAAACTATGGACACAGTGAAGTAGTTTATTTTTACCCCATGCCAGGAAAATATGCTATATTTTCTCCTTTAATTCTTTCAACCCTGAAATAAATCACATAGGATGCAAAGAACAAAGTGTATCACCACTCTTTAGAATTGTCTTTCTCCCTGCTTTATGTGCAAGTGCCCTATGTGCAGATTTCAATGTTTAGAAAACTTCAGTTGTAGACTGGCCAACAGATTTGAAGTTAGGACAGGCAGGAATATTTCTATTTGTACTCCCTATTAATTTTTAACTGTGTATGTTTAAGGTGTACAGAATGATGACTTGATATACATATATATACACACACACACACACACATTTACATAGTGAAATGATCATTACTGTGTGCATGTGTGTGTGTGTGCACACACGTGCATGTGTATGGTAAGAGCACCTAAGCTCTACTCTCTTGGCAAATTCTCAGTATACAGTTTCTGTGGTTTTAGTTCTTGCTCATATTGGTTTATCCCTCACTTAAAAAGAGTTCCCATTTCTACAATATTATTAACTCACTGCTTTATCTCATTGATTTATCCCTCACCTGAAAAGAGTTCCCATTCTACAATATTATGAACTGTGGTCATGCTGTATATTAGATCTCTAGATTTATTCTTCCTGTGTAACTGCAAGATTGTACTCTGAGCTACTTTTCCGCATTTCCTCCACTACCCGGGCCCCCAAAACCCTTTTCCAGTCTTTATTTCTGTGTGTACTTTCCCTTTCTTATTCTCTCACTGACACATCTGTCATGTCTTTCACTTTTTAAAACCCCTTTATTGTCTTTTCTCTATTCATTTTCTTTTGGCTCTATTTCTAGGTCATTGACAATGATTCTTTGTGGTTCTTGTTGATTTTAGTACAATTTAATCACACTGAGGTTGAAAGAGAAATAATAGAAAAGAACTGGAAGTAACAGCAAGACTGTTTCAAAAGGCAGAGGCATGAATCAGCTTATGTCACACATTCACCTATTCCAGGTAATTAAGGGAGAACTACTGAGGATAAGACCATTTTTTTTTACAGCCTCTCTAGTATCCTAGCTGCAGTTCTCAAAACCTATTCTCTGCTTATTAGCTTATCGCTTATCTTAAAATCGCTGAAAATTATTGGTACAAGACATTATAATATTGTAATAAATTTAATTTTTTTCACAGATGACAATAATTCTTTTTTCCTTTTGCATAAATGGTACATCATCTTTCTCATAATTTTACTCTCTTTAGTAAACTATATCCACATACAAACTACACTAAAATCTACCAACTAATATTTATAATCTAAAAATAAACACTTACCTGAAATTTAAACATAACACAATTGAATCAATATGCCTAGTTAATTTGCAATCAATAGCCCATTTCTCAAATGATCCACAGTTCCATTTTGTCTTTCTCTGACTAAACTTTTCTTCACTATATGTAAAGTTGTATTTTCTTTCTGTTCCTACGTCTGTGGCTTTCTCTCTCTTTGTCTCATTTTATGTATAGAAATATCTTTACTATTTTTTCTAGTCTCCTTCCCGCTTCCATTTTTTTCTATTTTGTTTTTATCTAAATTTGTGTCTTTTCAGTATGTAATCCTCTATTTTTTCCAGTCCCTTTGATTGGCTGTTTCTTTCTTCTAATTTCTGTTTGTGTTTCTATGGTTTAAGTTGTTGCTCTTATTGGCTTATCTCTCACCTGAGAAAAGTTCCCATTTCTACCTGAAAGTCAAACCCGTACTGATTAAAGATGCTACAATTTTGATTCTCTATGAACCTCAGGTTTTGAAAACCTTTGAATCTGTGAGTAGTGAGGCTTGAATGCTTCCACCATCTCTGTAAATACTCCTGGTTTCTCCTGGCAAAGAAAATTAGGGATTGGTGTCAGAGTCTGTTGGATCCCCAGAGATGAAATGGCCACAGAAAGCCCTTAACCACAGGTATGGCAAGAGCATATGATCATAAACTGAAAATAGTAGAAAAGCATCCCTGTTTTCATCCACTATTCCTAGTTCTTTCTTTCAAATTTAATAGTTTTCTCAAATGAGTATAAGAAAGTAAATGTATGATAATTACTGTGATCTAGAGGAATACTGAAATTTCAGCTTTAATTAGGGGCATTGTACAGAACAATGATGATGAAGTGCAATGATAAGTCTTTCCATTATAAGAGGTTTACCACATTTCACTGAACAGAGTAGCTTATTAGTCATGTGCTTAATAAGCATTTATTAAGCAACAGGTTTCAAGGAGGCATACTAAGCACTTTAAAGGCAAAAGCTACTATCTAGTTCATTGCTACTTCCTCAGTGCTTGGTAAGAAGCATGATCTCCCAACACATTTTTTTTTCTTTGCATATTGGCTATCCTACCTCTTTGCATTTATTTATAAATTTTAGAAACAGATTATCTCTTTCTATCAAGATATATATTGAGACTATTATTGAGAATGTGTTGAATCTATAGATCCATCTGGGGAGAATTGACATGTTTAGAATATAAGACAACTAATCCAAGAACAGGAACTTCAATTAATTAAGGTCTTTATTTTTTCTCAATATTATCTTATACTGCTCTGGAGATTGCATATTTTACACTAGGTTTATTCTCACATATTTGGCATTTAACTGTGCTAATGTAAATAGCATGATTAATTTTTTTTCTAAATCTTTGGGACTGTTATGTAAAAATAAAGTTAATTTGTCTTTTTTCAGAAGAACTGTTGAACTTATTTTTTATTTTTAATAAGTGACCTGTAGTCTCTAAGGTCTTATTTTGCACCAAATCACACCTCCACAAGTAATGTCAGCTTCTTTCTCTCTTATTTAAAATCTTAATTATCTTTCTCTATATTTATCGCTTTGTTGCATTGGATAAGATCTCCAGTGCATTTTGGGGAGAAGGGATAAAAATTGTTTACTTTTCTTTTTGCAGATATCACAGGTATGGTTATTAACATTTCATCATTAAGTATGTTTGCTAAGATTTTTTGTACCTGCATTTATCAAAGAATGTGGTCATCTTCTATTTTTCATGTGATAAGGGATTTTGCCAAAAATGGATGCTGAATTTTATAAAATTATTTTGGGTTTATTGAAATTCATGCTTTTATGATACATATTATTTTTCTTTAATATCATGTTAATGAGATTAATTACATTGATTTATTTTCAAATATCAATGTTGTCTTTCTGGAATAAACTCAAGTTTGGAATGCCATTTTCTTTTCTTTATTTATTGCCAGATTTGGTTTGCAAATATTTCATTCAGGATTTTGACATCAATGTTCATCAGTAAGCAAGGCCTGAAATATTCCTTACTGTAATATATTTGTTATGTTTTGCTATGAGATTACACAAAGCTCTAAAACACCTGAAGAAATATTCTTTCTCTTCTCCCCAGGAAGATTTTGCATATGCTAATATTTCTTTTTTTAATTAAATGGCCTTCCCAGGGTAGTTTTAATTATGGGTTTTCTAGTTAATCCTTGCAGACAATTCAGTTTTTCTCTTTGTCAGTTTTAAAACTAGTTGTGGAGAGATGTAATTAAAGACTACATTATCCAACATTTATAGGACCATTTAGATCTTCTATTTATTCTTTTACCAATTTTTGTAAATTTTATTTATCTAGGAATATGTAGTTTGAATATACATTTTGATATTTATTGGTTAAAAGTTATTCACTGAGTATCTTTATAATTTTTCAATGTCTGCAGTAGTCGCACGGTATCTGCTTTTCTTGTTACTCATGTTGTTTTGACATGCATTTTCTCTTTTATACTACTAGTGTCACAGCAGATTGACAGTTACATTGGTCTTTCAAACAGTCAACTTCAGAGGTTAGGTTCTCCAGAAGCAAATACAAAGGGAGAGTTTGAGATGAAAAGGACTTGTTAGGAATTAGGTGTTGATTCAGCTGCCCTGAACTTAACTTTGGTTAAGTGATTTAACCAAAGTTTCATAGCTAATAATTAGATAAGCCACTAAACCAATTGGTCTCAATAACTGGCATATTAAATACAGCATAGAAAATAACATTCCTTAAACTCTACCTGTGTAGCAAAAGGCAAAGGTCTATTCCTAACCTTATGCTTTCTTTTCTTGCAGTCCCATGGCCATCTCTGCCAGAGTTCTCCACTGTTGTGTACACTTCTTTCTTGCTCTGATCACAGTGGTTGAACATAGCAAATGCTGAGACGTATCAAATTGTGAGGACAAAATGTTATTCTTTAAAACAATCTTTATTGTGACTCAGTAGTGTTTTGAGTGTTGGTTCAGCTAACCTGACTGGGTTGCATTCTTTAGGGCTTCATCCTAGCAGTTGCCAAGGCTGCTGTAGTGCTTTGAGTTTTTGGTCCTCAAATAAATTCCCTGAAAGGACAGGTTGAATAAGTCCTCTGTGCCAGCATTAAGGCATGTCAGATGAACATTTTTCTCCTATGGAAACAGAAAAAAAAAAAAAAGTAAATTTCAGGTGGAATTTTCCTGCCCAAATCTCCCTTCTCTTCCTTGAACAGCACAGACCATACAAATGCTGGATCCTTTGGATATCATCGGCACTGAGCTGGAAGGTTCCAGGGTCGTGATACCAGTAAGTGGGGTACATTATGGAGCTCTGATTCCCAGAGTGCTGCAGGCCCAAAGAATGCCCAATCTCATGAGTTGCAACCAGGAACAGATTATATCCTGAAAAATTGTAGAAAAAAATATAAAATTAACTATGCATAGGGAATGCAGAAAGTGTGTGAAAAAGAACAAAGAAAAAGGAGAGAACAGAACAGGAGGAAAGGGCTAATGTTCGAGGGTAAAGGAAAAGGTAGGCAAGGAGGGAAAGAAGGTAAGTAGAAAACAGAAGGGCAAGATATTTGGACAGATAAACTTGAAGCAAAAAAGACACATGGAAAGAATTGAGGGACTGATAAATAGAAGCAAAGAGATAAGAAGAAAAAAACCCCACAATCTGACAATGTGTTTATTATGGGATCTTCTGTGTTCAGAAATGATCCCACAACTCCTCACTTATGAAGAAAAACTGATTCCTCAGCCAAATCTTCCACCTCACCCTGACCACTCTGGATCCCTAAATGGAGACCATCAACACTGAAACCCAGGTTCCCAGAGAGTTCTAGCACTCCCACCAAACAAGGCATTTACCAGTGTTTGAAGTTGACCAATGTTCATTCTTGTCAAAATGGACAACTCCAGGATTTCCAGAATTTGGTAAAAAGGCATGACCTAAGATACCACCTGGCCCATCAAAGGGCCAGCCATCTTCATGGGCTGTGGACGACAGAAGCTATGGTCACGATGAGGGTGGAGGGAGAAACAAGGGCCAGAATAGTCTTAAGTAACCCTCAGAGACTTAGGATACTGTGCAACAGTCTACCACTGGGGATGTGAAAGGGCTAAGGCATTATCTATGCAGAGAAATAAGGTGGGGCCAAAAATCTTCCTGCTCTCTTATCTAGGGTAAAAAGAAAGATAGATGGCAGACACTGAGTAAAGCTTATAAGTTAGACAATAATAATAATGATAACCTCTTTTCAAAATGGTAGGGAAAAAGGGAAAGAGAATTTAAACTCTGAAAGTTTTTATAAGTAGGTTGGATCAACTTTGAATAGCATTTCAATAGATTTGGGAGCTATACATCATCATTTTTGGAAAGAAAATGTGCAATACCCCCACCATATTCACACTGCAGCCAACACCACTTCTTTTTTTATTGCTTCATTTTACTAAAAGTGTCTTCCCTGTGTTACAGGATTTGCTTTGCATTAGGGTTTTTTCAGACTTTTTTTCTCAGAAACTTTAATAGAGGAGCTGGGTTTTTGTTTAAGGATGGAAACCTTTGTCCTTTACACAGGGCATATACATATCCTTCTTCCTATGTCAATTTCTTACCCCACTGCCAGAAAGAAATCTTGATGTCTGCATCTTCATTCTGCACTTGCTGGAATATCAAAGGGGTCACATTGCTCCAGATGGAAACTGCATTATATATACTGTCTTTCACTGTGGATGGCTTCATATCATGTGGGTAATTGATAATCCTGAGGAAAGTAATCTCTAAATGAAAAAGTTCAGAGGTATGGGAATTATCCTAGCTCTACACATGAATAATTCTACTTTAGGGAGAATCATTTAATAGTTTTAGGATTCATTTTGGTCATTTATAAAGTTGAGCTAATTTCAGACTAACTAAATCAGAAACTTAAGAAATTAAACATGCAAATACATATTTCTAAGAATTTTAACAATATCCCACATTATTCTTAGGTCAGCTAAAGTCTAAAAACAACAGCCCTATCTGGTGGTTGCAGACAAATAAGTAAATAAAACAATGTGAACTAAGTTAAATTAAATTAAATATACAGTATTCTACATAGATTAAAATGTATAGCATTCTACATAATTTAGTACTGTTTGCTTTAGATATCTCAAATATATTTAGAATCCCCCAAAAAAAGAGTAACCTAGGCAGAAATTAAGTTTTCAAAATTGTGCCTTAGAACCATCCACACACTCACACATTAAAATTAAAAAGAAAAGATTTAACAAAGGGAAAGGATACTGGTTATGCTCTCTACTTTCTAAAGAGATGGTTAGAGGAACTTAGAAAAGGATCTGGTAGTATTGTCTTCTCTGAGGGAGATTTTGGGCTTTGAGTGGGCTGCCAATGAAAGCAGAAGACAATAGAGTTGCCTCCAGGAGAGACCTGGTAGAAAGCCCTTTAAGGTCATCACCCTACACATTATCCTCTAGACCTTAATAACAAGCACCTGTAAGTTAGAGTGTACTTATTCCACTTGCATCTTCCTGGTGAGATGGAGGTGTTGGACCCATCGGGCACCCCACAGCGGGGCTGGTGCAGCAGGGCATGCATTTGCATATCAAGTCGGCCTGTCCCATTCCGATGGAATTGTTGCAGGAGCTGTATTTGTGTCTCCTGGGTAAGGAGTGGTGACTCCTTCTTGGTCAGGAAAAATTGATGGAAATAGTCCTGAATCAGATCAAGAAGGATGAGTACTAAGAGTCAATAGGGAAGACCTATATATTAATTACCCTGGGCATATCCTTCTTTGAGGGTCTCAGATGGATGGTACTTAGTCTGGCCTTCCTAAGTCTCCTGTTCTCAGTGAGATGATGGCAGCCATCCCTGATTCTTTATGCCACAGTGAAATGACATTAAGGACAGGTGACAGAATAAAAATAACCTGGATAAGCTGTAACATTTTTTTAAAGAGAAAAAGCTTCCAAGTTGTAGGATGGAGAAACCCAAGTATAAACCACATGAAGGTATTACCTGGGAATTGCCCAGGGAAGATGGCCTCTGGTCTTTCTGACTGATGGAGGTTTTCTTAATCAGGACAGAATCAATCACTCCAGGACATAAAATTTGGCTGGTTCTGCATTCCCCATTTCATTCGCATTTACTTCCATTTCATTTAGCGACTTTTAAAGAGCCCATTGTTTACCTATTCCTTGTCTCCACTGATTTTTCTGCCAGTCTGGTGTATTAAATGTAAACTTCTAAAAACAGAAAAAGCGCATTGTATTGTAATTAGGCTTTCTCTGTCTATATTTGAACCCTAGCTGCACTCAAAATACTTCAAGGGCAATGCTCCTATCTGGTACAGCTTGATCTATTCCACAGTTCTTATGGGTACTTGATGTAAACCTATTGACTGTTTTTTTTTTTTCTAAATTATATGACTGCATTTTTATGTCTTTGTTTTATTATCAGCTGAACTGGGCACCAAGAAGCAAATGACTTATTGTATTGTTCTGAGCTAAACATTAGCAGGAAATTTGACTAGGTTCCTATACAATTACAAAATACATGACTGCAACCAGTTATAACATTTTTTAGGTATTTTGGATGCTTAAAAGGTTTGGAACAAATTCATAATTTTTTTAGAAATTGAAAGTGTCTGGTAGACCCACTGAGAGATTACTCAGTCAATGTGAAGGTCACATTAATTCATTTGAATTATTTCCCCTGATCTCTCACTACTTAGCAGGCTCAGAGACCTATAAACTGGAGTGTTCACTATGCCATTTAGAAGACTAAGAGAGTGAGAGATGAGCAATGGGGCTGAATTAGGCACAGAAGGCACAGTGACTAGGGCCCAAAAACACTTTTAGGGGCTACAAAAAATTATTTTTTTTTTCTTAAAATTAGAAGAGTAAAATGAACACACAGATTGAATAAAATGTTTTCATATATAATATTAATGTATGTATTTATCATTATACCATGCAGTCACACATACACACACACACGAAATAAGAGCCCACAATGGTCACCACGTAATAATGTGGTCCTGAGTCATTCACCTACCTTAACAAAGTCCCATCCTTTATGGACTGTAGCAGGGGGCACTGGAAGGGCGAAACACCAGGGCAAGAAGATAGTAACTCTTAAGATGACGAGCTGCATGTCAAACACTCATTTGTCCCACTGCTTGAATTCAGGTTCCTAACTTGGGCCACCGGACCTTTATAGCTGTGCCAGCAACATCCAATGACTCACTGTGCCAGTTTGGCCTTTCTTTGAATTTGTAAGTGGCCTCATCATCCATACCTGCTGAGGGCAGAGTGACCAGCATGCAAGGGTGACAAAAGCAGCCATGGGATTTATTTTTATGCTCAATTCACACCTGATGGTCCTCAGCATCCTGGGCCACAGGTTTGGTTAAAGAAATACAGGTCAGTCTCAGAACATAGGGGGCAGCATTTTTTAAAATGGAGGGAAAAAAAAAAAAAAAACAAGAAACAGGAGGTGTGTCTAAACTCATTACAGCTTTAGCTATAGAATAATTACTTTACCAGTCAGAGACATTCAATCTTGCTCCAGAAGCTAAAAAGAGAAAAAAGAATAAAATCAAGGGAAATAAATAATGTCCCCTGTAATAAAGATCCAGATCAGAGTATGAAAATCTCCAAGACCTATACAAAAGAGATCTAGAAAAACACAGAAAGAGGTAGTTAATAGCTGTATGTTGAAGAAAACAAAGCACTGATAATAAGTTGACACACACACACATCTATAGATGTACATGTATACATATATGTACAGATACATATACATATATATCTCATAGCAAACCATTTCAGCTCATTGCCTTAGAAATCACACAACTTGGCTGGGTTCAGTGGCTCGCACCTGTAATCCCAGAACTTTGGGAGGCCGAGGCGGGTGGATCACCTGGGGTCAGGAGTTTGAGACCAGCTTGACCAATGTGGTGAAACTCCGTCTCTACGAAAAATACAAAAAATTAGCCAGGCATGGTGGCATGTGCCTATAATCCCAGCTACTTGGGAGGCTTAGGCAGGAGAATTGCTTGAACTCGGAAGTGGAGGTTGCAGCGAGCCAAGATTGTACCATTGTACTCCAGCCTGGGCAACAAAAGCAAAACTCCGAAAAAGAAAGAAAGAAAAAAGGAAAGAAAGAAAGAGAGAAAGAGAGGAAGGAAGGAAGGAAGGAAGGAAGGAAGGAAGGAA